TTGCGCATGCGCACATTAATCCGATGTTTACAATATGCGATACGTTTGCTTTTACTAAAAGCATCTTTGGTTAAAATTTCAAAGAAATACTTCCATAAGTAAGACAGTTGGCATTGCACGCATGCGCACATCTGATTTTTAATATATGCGATATGTTTGCCTTTACTAGAAGTATCTGTGGTTAAAATTTCAACAAAATATATTAATAAATAAGAAAGTCGACATTGCGCAGCCTGCGCATGCGCAGTTTAATCGTTAAGATTTTCCTTGGATCAGGTGGCAGAGCTATACACCATTAAAAAGAACGAACTAAATATGTTGAAAACTGTAGGAGTAGTTTTAAGACCTCGGACAGACGGACGGACAGAGCTGCAATAGCGTACCTAACTTCCGTTTTCCGAAATTGAAAATAAGTTCTCTTGCCCCTTTTAAAACCCCTTATGACTTTACTTGATGCGATGTAAGAAAGAGACGGCAAGTTTTGTCTCAGTTTATCACACTTCTGCTAGTGGAGTCATGGTGTTGTTTTTACAAAATCACGATCGCGCTCGTTTGTTTGAAAATGCATTGCAAACCAAAGTAGATAGGAGCGATTACTATAAATTACATCACATTTTAGCAAAACTTCAGAGCACTCCTCTGTACAAAGTGGGTTAAGCCAAAATACTTAGATACTTCAAACGGGCTAACGGCTTCATATACTATGCTATTGATTAAGTGACCGAAGAACGATTACGGCCAAGCGATAGTAAATTTTTATCAGTACCTATGCCGTTTACGCACTTTCTATTCATATACAGTGTGTACCGTAACAGTGTACGATGTTTATACCTTACCTATAGTCCTACATACTCTAATTACTAAAAGAACAGTAGGTACTATAGGCGTAGTAATTTTAAGAGTTGATTTAAATAAGGAGCAAAAGAGGGAACGAAAACGAATCGTAATTTGAGCAGAATTATAAAAAGAGAAAAGCGTAATTTGACAAAAGGGCCGGAACTTCTCAACCGGATAAACTGATCAGCAATTTAAATTTAGAGCAGTCATTTTCATATTTTTACCTTTTACTTTATAACTGACTTAATTTACTGTTCGGAAGTGGCAAAAGTGTAACTGTGGCACGTAATTTTTTCCCTATGCGGGAGAACATAGTTAAGTGCTCTGGTTGTTTTTGTAATGAGAACGAATGTACATGTTTGCTTGTAATAAGATGCATTAGAGTTCAGTTGTAGGTTATAAAATGCACTATATAATTTGGTTCGTAGGCTGTTTGCATTAGCGAGTTTTGCGATATTTTATTTTAATTTAATAATAATTAATATTTAATTTCTATTTACTATTGTCACATAATTGATTTTTTAGGTATCGTGTGGATGATTTATATTTTTAAATGTTCATCTCAAAGTATATTATATTTCCATTATTTTTTTTTTTTTTTTTTTTTTTTTTTTTTTTTTATTGAGCTTCGACAGCTATGGTCATTAGCTCTTGTTGCTAATTTAAATGTTATTGTACATGTCTATTACCTTCAAGTACGACATTAGGTTATTTATACGCGACATACTAATAAAATTATCTCGATAATTATCACTAATGTTGTAATTGCTTCTTATAAGCTCTAAATGGCCACATTCAAAAATGAAGTGTACTACCGTTAATTCGTGTCCACATCTGGCACATATAGGAACTGGTTCTCCCTTCAGTAGGTATGTATGCGTTACTGCAGTATGGCCTATTCTCAATCTAATTAATTTTGATATGTCTGTTCTAGTGAGTGCAGGATTATCCCATTTAGCTATGGTAGGTTTGATGTTTTTAAGGTGAGTATTACACATATCCCAATCATCTTGCCATTTGGAAACAGTTACACGATTATATTTATTTTTCAAATCTTTGTGTTTTATTTCAGGTACATCGACCGCATCCTGTTTGGTTGCTTCCAGGGCTACCTTGTCAGCTTCCTCATTACCCTGTATGCCCACATGACTGGGGACCCATAGTAAGGTAATATGCTTTCCTTGATTTTCTAAGTATACGATAGATGAATGACACCATTGTGTTATCGTATCATTGTCACAGTTTACTATCGATTTTATAACGGACAAGGAGTCTGTTACAATGCAGAAGTGTCGATAACCCAGTGACATATCACAGTACTTCAGCGCTTGCCTTTCGGTTGAAAATTTTGGGTCAAATTTTTAACTGCTTAGTGAATTGCTCAAATTTTAATTTCACTCTAACGACAGCTCTCATTTTGTAAAGTGTATTGGTAATGAATAAGCGGAAATAACTGAAATTTCTGTGTTTATTAACCCTCCCACTATATCCGTTATCGATTGATTGAGATAACATTAACGCAAAAAATCAAACATTACTTTCAGTAGAATGAACAATAGACCTGTTCATTACTTCTCAGCTCATCAGGAAATGACTTCATTCACTTGTAACCGAATTATCTTTATGGTGCTGATTTATTTATTTTTCAGAAATTTTAAAGCAAATGTAAACTGAAATAATTACTCCTACCTACCCTTTTATTCTTTTACAATCCCGCTTGAAGAGCCAGTTGGTCCTTCTGACACTCTGAGTTTCAGGTGTCGTGTTTACATGAAACAGGGTGACATTTTTTCATGTAATGATGGGAGTACGGAACAACGACTGTTGCAAAAGAATGCAGGTACCTATTTAAGAAAGTCATAACTCATAAGTCACTTTCTCCAAGTGAGTGACAGGTACGATATGCACGTCCATATCAGGGATTATTTACCCATATTTTGGTAAAGCTTTCGTAAATGTCTTAACATCATTTCTAACTGAGGCTAATCTTGCTGAAAGTGCATGCTAATTTCCTTCGTATGTCCCCATTGTCGCCAACTTAACTCTCCAAAGATTGTGTGATTAGAAAGTCTATAACTCCTTCCAATAGAATTTAATATAATTCCCCTGTTTCTAGGACTGTTGATCATTGATTCTGAAGTATAGTAGGGAAGGAACGCAAAATAAAAGACTACGACGGCGTAATAGTATCTATAATTCGTATTAGAATAATTCTTTGCATTTTGGTCAGTTATTTTAATATTGAAACTATTGTCAATATATGAGATAAACTGTTGCAATTGATTCACAATAAAGCATGATAAATATAAATGACAATGTTACACATAAAATATGATATAAAAACACGTTAAAAGTAAGTTGCAAAACAAAGAACTGGTTGGAATACAAGCAGGTAACAAAACGAGGTAACTGTACAGGGTGAGTCAACGATTGCGCGGAGTAACTTAATGCCTTGAAGATAAGATTTTTCGATAGAGTGCTATTGTAATATGATATCGTTGAATATTCTTCACATTTTAAAAATATTTGGAACTATACAGGGTGCGCCCACAAAGAAGGTCGGCAAAATGGTACATGTATTTGAATGAATTTTTGAATTATACGCGTAATTGTACGCCCTTTTTATTATATGGTTAATGTCCGAAAAACTAGTATTTTTAAAGATAATTTGATTTGTAAGAAAAGTTGGGCATTTGCAAGCGCCAGTATAGGTAAAATAATAAGTTTTCCGTTGCACGTCATTAATTTTCTGACGTCGTTCTTATGCAGAGTTGACAAACATTTAGTATACTATAGAACTATTTACAAATCATTGTATCTACTGCTTGCACATTTGACCTACTAAGCATGTAGTATCAACAATAATTTTAGAATCGCTTTTACGTGCATGAAATTACCTTTAAATTGCAGCCATAAAACCACACTTTTTTTATAGTAGGTACCCCACTCAGTACCTACTCATAATTAATATATCCTTACAATCTTGAAAACTTGAATCAAATAAACATTAACACAAGAAAATTATACAAAAATAAACCCACCAGACAATCTATAAAGGATACAAATCTTAACTCCATATTCAATTGTCATGAAGTACAAGATATTTACGTGTACAGGAATGTCGAATATCAATTGCTTACAAGCGATCGACTTTTTAATGTTGGAGCTTTATGTAAGGATTAACACTTTGAAGTTACATACTGGAAAGTTAAGAACCGACAGCAATTTCGATAAATTCATTAATTAACCTTTCTACATGGTTTAAAGGCTTCACAATTTACATGTCATACTTTACCATCAAAGCCAGGGGATAGTATTTTGCAGTAATAAGTCACTTTTATGTAATTATTTTATAATCTTACAATGTAAATAAGTACAAATTACTTAATTTGCAAATTAACAAGAATCTTCTGTGTCACTGTCACTGTCTTCCCCTAAATTTATTATAATTGGCAGTATATCTTGCATATCTAATATTTTTTCTCTTTCATACCATTTCATTATTTCACCTTCAGTGTGTTTGATTGAATTTTTCCACATATCTGGTGTCACGACATTAACTGCTTCTTGCCACATATTTAAACAATCAGCCTCTGTTCTCCCATCTCTACCAATATGTTTATTATAATAAGTTTTTGTTATACCCCATATTAACTCTATGGGGTTAAAAATACAATGGTAGGGTGGAAGGTGCAACACTTTATGACCATATTGTTCCGCTAATTGGTCAACAAAATATGTTTTTTCTGGTTTATTTCTGGAAATAAAAATTCTTATAAATATAAAACAGGTATCGGTACTTACTGTGACACCTTCAACAGAAGTTCACTTTTAAGCATCTGCTCAGAATATATAATTCCTTCATTAGTTAGCCAGCTTTGAATGTCACCTTTTTTCCATGAAGCATTAGGTGCTTTGTTAACTTCCATATTGTGATACGGCACATTATCGATAATAATGACAGACGGTTCACTTAAATTTGGAAGCAATTGATTTTGAAACCAATGTAAGAAATTCGTCTGGTTCATTTCTCCGTGATAATCACCACTTGAAGTTTTTGATGCGAATATTAAATTTGCACCAGGTATGAATCCTTTCTCATTTCCAGCATGCAGAATTATTTGTCTGTAACATATTTTTTGCTATAATTATTGTTACCACTATTAATAATAAACCAACCGCTTTCCATCAGTTTTGATGGTTTTCACACTTCTTTCATTACTATCTTGCCATGAGCGTTGTATAGTGCCATTTTGGAATATCCACGTTTCATCAAGAAAAACAAATTGGTACAAATCTTTTTCCTTGAAATCTTTGTATTGGCGCAGAAAACGAATTCTTTTACTTGCCACATGGGGTAGTTCCATTAGACCTCGCCTGGGCTCGTCTTTTTTCCATTTAAATCCAATTTCTTTTAGCACTGTTCGCAATGATGCCAATGAACCATGAAAAATGACTTTTTCACGAAGCTGTTCATGCACAGATGCCAATGTAACATGCACTTCTGCAACTCTGATTACACAAAATGTGATCAACTTACTGTTTTCGTACATTTCATAAATTGTGTTTCTAATACCATCGACGTTCAAATTAGATACATCTGTCACAGGTTTAAGGCGAGGACGATTCTTTAAAGGCGACGTCAACACTTCATTCTTCTTCACTGCCGCTGATATGGTACTGACCGTGGAGATACTGATACTTAAAGCTTGTGCCACTCTCTACGATAATTATACTTAGTAGAATAGGTACCTAACGTAAAAATTATGCTTTTGTTACCTCTCTTACTGCCTGCAAAGGTAACAAGGGCCCTCCATGGTCACGCTCTTGTTCAAAATACAGAATTAAAGATGCTACCATTTTTTTAGCAGTGCTACCCAAATTCTTCGTCATCGTAATAAATAACGCTTCACAGTACGACAAAAAGTTGTTCTGAAAAGAACAGTTTGGTTTGTGGAATTGAGAAGCTTGATACAAAAGCACGAAACTACGATAAACTAGACGATTCGAAGCACACGCAAGGTGACAGAATGGGTGACAGATAGCAACATAACCTTAAATGCATAGTACAGAGTCGCGCCAACATCGCATTTCTGTACCAACCGTATACTTACAAATAAACTGTTTTTAACTTATAACAACACATCCCATGTAAATATTTAGGTTGGTACGTCAAATTATTCCAGTAATGTCGTGCAACGGAAAACTTGTTATTTTACCTATATATTGTCAAAATTATTACTTAAATTTGATTCTAGGTTTTATATCTTTTTATCCTGGGTTAAGTAAAATTCAAACAAATACATCTACTATGAAACATTAAAAAAATAGTTTACAGAGTGTTTTTTTGGTAGGTCCAAAGTTGCAAAACTTCATATTAAAAATCTTACTTTTTTAAATGGAACACTCTGTATATTATTCTGTCATTTTTAGCTCCTCCAAAAACCTTCAACTTTTGATAATAATGTCCTACACCTATCTCTGATAGTTTTCGAAATCTCTTGGTTTTCCTGGTTTTTATATTCTAATCTTAAATATGTAAGTTATATGTAATTTATAATAGTGAGGTGGACATGCAAAAAAAGACAATTTTTATCTATCTCGTTCAAAACGAAAATCATATCGTCAATATGATTTCATTGTATTTCCTATTTTTAAATTATACTGCAGGTATAATAAAAAATACTATAAGATACACGTGTATACGTCTTTCGCTATAGAAACCGTTGCACATCATTGATTTGTGTATCAATTTCAGACATATGCTGCAACACTGCAACATGTACAAAAAAAAACAAGTGTGCGAAATCTATAGAAAACTTGTCTGAAATTGATTCATAAATCAATGACGTGCATCGGTTTTTATAGCGAAAGACGTATATAATAAAATTGGTCTTTTAAGCACTTGCAACGTTAAAGGCACTCCGCTTCGCGTCGTGCCATTAAACTCGTTGCGCGTACTTTAAAGACTTGATTATACACTTGTATCTTAATATACTATGTTTTCATTTCTAGCCTACGATGACATTTCATTGCACTCTTGGCAGCTATTGAAAGTTACATACCTAAAACTGTCATTTTGAAAAGATTCAAGCGAAATTACTCTTTGAAAATGGGTCAATGACATACGTTTGACAATATAATTTGTTAATTTAGAGGGTTTCCAGTACTAGTAGTGAAAGAACATAATTATAAAATAAAATTGACGTTTGCAACTGGTGAAAATGTTTGACGATGATGTCGACTGACCATGCTCCTCAGTCGCTCTCATATAAGAAAACCATCCCGTATATATGCTCATTTTTTATCTTACATAATCAGCAGCATTGATTCGAGATGTAATCTTGGCAGATGCACGTGTAGTCCTACTCAGTAATATAACATACAGAATGGGGTTGTGTAATCTTTTATGGATAACCGCAAGGGGTTTTCTATTCAAAGAACGAAGGGCGCCACGTTATATGAGGAGCTCAATTATAATCCCGCTTGATTTTATGACTGGAAATTGCACCTGTAATTTTCGGCTTATTTTGAAAGTCTCATTCAAACATTGAAAATTTACTCTCGCGCACTTGGCAATTTAATTGCTTAGCATCGATCACGTTGTTCGCTCATGCGAAATTGTGAAACTAAACTTTATTTTTTTATTATATATTGTTATTGCTTTCTCGGCCATTTTCAGGAGTCTATAACTACGTTTTACAGTAATGACCCACCTTGGATGAAAGTGTTTATGTTTAACCATACCTTTCGATTTTCAGAAGAAATCCGGTGGCTTCATTTGATGAATCCAGATTCAGAAACATTACGTTTTGAGTATACATAACATCTCTACTAACATTAAACCGTGTGTAGCTACTCTTTCTTTTTTTTCGCGTATGGTGTAACCTGATATATTAAAAATAAAAAAATATTAGTCAATACAAAATTAATATCATTTTTCATTGAAATGATTAGTGTGTTTTAAATATTCCTAATTTAAAAAAAAATTGTTTAAATAACGTATAAGAATTTATCTTAGAGACCTTAATCTCATAATGAATAGTAAAGGAAGGCCATGTCACGAACGTACCGATTGCGATGGTCTTTGATTAAGGACCTAACAAAATTATTTGAAAATGGAGGAGACTCAGCGTCCGTCTGACTGGTAGTAACAAAATCTTAATGCCTTTCACGTGACCAAACTAGCTGAATGAGAATTACTCGCAGTGATGCTATGGAGCAGCGTCTGAAGTGCAGTTTTAAACAGCAGTGGGTTTTGATAGATGGCCTTTGTATGCTTTTGTTGGGGACAAGGAAACGAAGTCTATTGATTGTTAGCACCATTGTGTAGGCGTGTTTAAAAATTTTAAAAAAGTAGGGACGCGTTCAGAAGAGGCAGCGGGATGGTATTCGGTTTCGAACCATGAGAGCGCCAAGTGTGTGGTCTAAAATAAGGCATTAAGTGTAAGGCTATTAGCGGGAAAACCACGCTTAATCCGCGAGGAAAACAACTCATAATTAAAGTCAGCGTAAAAGTTCGAAAAAACCGTGCAAATATTCAATTCGGAAGTGTTGTCCGTGACGAAAGTTAAAATAAATCTACGGGATTAAAAAAATCAACTCAGTCACAACGTGCACGGAAGTTCGTGTTTGGCCCGTAAATAAACACTACGAGAGGAATATTTAACGCAGATAGTTATATCGCGAACGCAGCAGTTCCGTTGGACGTTAAATTAGCCGGATCATTCGTGAACCCTTTCAGAAAGTATTATCGCGGAAATCCAGTAGAAATAAACTTTTTCCGAACGGTCCGCCTACAATCGATTGTGGTTTTTTTCGGTGTAGCGTACAGGGGGTTGGTTGTTTGGGGTACGTAAACAAATATATGGGAAAACTTTACTCCCTGTCGCAATACAAAATTTCATTATTCAGATCACTATGAAATGTGCCGGACAGTCGGTTAACTAACAAAAGTAAATGACATCAATAAAGAGTTGGTAGATTTGGCGCTGCATTTCCTCAAACCCCCGCATAAACGGCCAACTAGCTCAGGGTTAAACAAGAAAATACAAGCTCGAGATCTGTCACAGCGGTAGTTCGTTCTGGGCATTTGATCTTCGTCCTTCGTTGCAGTTACAAATGGTTGAGCGCTTCTCAATTTCTAACCTAACTCTTTTCGTATGAAATGGAGATGATAGAAGGGTAGTAATAACAGTAAAAATCAATTTAGGAACCACAAGAAATATTGGTTTATTCAAATAAACGGCAAAAATAAAAATTCTCTCCACAATGGGATATAGAGTAACCCACAAACATTCAAAATATTCCCCTAAATACTCAAAGTTATAACTTACGCCACACAAAAATCTTAGTAACTTAAATGTGCAATTGAAATTCTCCAGTTTAACAAATTCCCAATCAAGAATGATCGACTAAATTGAAACTTGAAACTTGAAACTTTGACATATGCCTGGCGTCGCCGCCTCTCCCAGGATTTAGTCAACTGTCGTGAGGATGCGTCCCTGGTAGACACTATCAGGGACGTTTCTCCACTACTTTGTTGCCATCGCGCTGGGCCACGACATATGCCAAACAATGTGGTGGATTTTGTGGATTGGGGGGGTTGTGGGGGGGCGGCTAACTGGGTGTTATCCGACCCGAACGGGTACGGCCACAGCTTCGCCACTGGTATTCTGCCTTAGAGGGTACTCTGCTTTCTAGTGATAGCTTCTTCTCCGGGCGTTCATTGGCTTCCGATGTTCCTATCCTTTGGTCTCGTTCCCTTCCCTGTTTTCCCTCGTGCTAGGCTCTTTTTATTGTTGTCCTCTCCCCGCATTACTTTCTGTCCCCTTTTCCTCCTCCCCTTGGCTACTTGTCCTTGTGGCTGATTCTTCCTCCACCTCCAGTATTCTTCTGCTTTCTTTCTTCCTTTGATCTTTGTCTCTGCTATTCTCTTCCCATCTTCCCATGGTAATCCCCCGCTTGGTTTATGGTGGTGTTCCATGTTTGGCAGGGTCGGCCTACCTTCCATTCCGAGGCACATAGAATCTTATTATTAAATCTTAAACAAGTTTTCGCAAATAAATTGATATTACGGCAAAAACTTCGCATCCAAAATCTGCAAATAATCAAAGTCAAAAGCCCAAGGCGCAGAGATCGGTACATAATTAATTGACTAATGCCTGAAGGGCGTTGCTCTACTCGTAATCTGTTTCTATAATACGTACGGTACTTAATCGGTCAACCTCTCTAGAAAGAAGTGGTGGACTCTAACATTCACGTTACAAACTCGATCATAACTTAACCTAGATGGCAAAGATATTAAATAGGTACTAAAGTTAACAAACGACTTGAATGTAATAGCATTTAATCCACAAGAAGCGAAATAGTTATTAACTAATGTTGTCTCTTTGTTGAGGATGAATCTCGATATCAACCCGAGCTGATTCCAGAAAATGGCGGCTCGTTATCATCAGGTGGAAGATATGTCAAAGGTGTTGGCACTCGCAGGTTAAATTCATTTAACCCAAGGTTACACATTCGGACGTCATCAGAATTGTCTCCGAACAATTGAATTAAATTTGAATTTGAACTAATATTAAAACGAAAAATTGAAACCCTAAAAGAAATCAAAGGTAACCCCTCTCTTTGATACCCTAAAATGTATATTCCTCTTAAATAATAGGGTTAATTATAGATGAAGCACATGTTGTTGATGAAAAAATTGTCGTATAACAGATGACAGCTGAACCTAAAGAAAAGGTACACTTCAATTACGTAAAATCCATGGCACTTACGATAAGCCAGAAAAAATCAAGTTATTCCAGAATCACCAATTGAATGTATCCAATTGCCAGAGATTAATAAAATATGGATGATGGCAATTAAAATTCCGTGCGTTCTCAACTAACGCCTCAGCTGTAGGTTTTTAATAAAATGCAAACTGATATGGTTCTCGACTGAAAGAGGAAAATTAA